GATTTGTCTGAATGCCAAGCTTCCAGGAATTCCCTAGCATTTTTGGATTTAACTTGGTCTATATACTATTACACATATCTAATACATGCATACACATATGTAATGGTATCTGTATACCACTATACATATTTACACACATGATATATATTAAAAACTTGTCTATGCTGTTCTTCAGCTGAGGAACTTTAATTTTACTTACTTCAATTTGTTGAGTAGCCTACTTGTGGATTTAGCAAAACACTGCTTTACCATCATAACAAATATTCTTGAATTACTGATTGTCAAGAAGTCTGTAAATAAATCTTTGCGTGGTGTCAGTCGTACTAAATATAAATATTCATTCTGCAGCAGGTAGATGTGAAAGAATAAAAAAAAATCTCAATTTAACAATTAACTCAAATGCATTTTAGCGAAGATTAGTAATTTTTTAAATAAGTTTGCAGGTCTGACTAAAGTTCAGTCTGAAAACTTCATTAGAAATTTGGTAAAAAGAATGCCTAATTGCACATATATTTTATTAATCGATGATGATGATGATGATGATGATGATACCCAACTCCCAGTGATTCTTCCAGATTATATATTGATATGTAGATGTCGTATCTTTTGGACTATGAACATCTTCATCCTCCTTTCCATGGCAATGAATTATGACATTTACTGCATAATTATAGCAAACCATGGAAAGATTGCAACGACAGTTCCTGGCAGGAACCCTCCTAATATGGGTTTTGACTCATGCAAAAAATACCTTGGGAATTGAAATTTGATGGTTAGGTAAGTGCAAAGTAAAATTTGTCTTTATGTTTTTCTCTAAAATAGAGAACTGGAGAAATTAAATAGGCATTTAAATTCATTATTTGGCTCTTCACATTCAACTCCTTAAATCAAATTGGATGCAATTACTTTTCCAGGCTCTCAATCATGAGATTCTGCAAAAGAGGAATTAACTGCATCTTGAACATAATCCCCAATCAAATTAATTTGTATCAAATATATATATTTGTACATAGAAGTATTCAACCCAGACATTCACACTGCATTTATTTTAGGATAGACAAATATTAAAAGCTCACCGCACTATTTGGTATAGAGCAGCTGTTCTTTGACTTAGTTAAAAATGAAGAGCAGGGCTCCTAGAAGAGAGGAAACAATGGAACTTAGTGCAGCTTTAAAACACTAGTAGAAACCAGTACAGCTCAAATTTTAAATCATAGGGCCAAGATATGAAAGGAAGATCGAAGAACTGAAATCAAATATGTATTCAGCACACTGAATGTTAGCTTTCTGAAGGAGATTTTTACAATAGGCTTACACAGGGAGGAGAAGTTCAATTTTTATTATTTTGGTTCCTCTAGTCTTCAGCAGTAACTTTTCACAGCAAAGCAAGTCCTCCATCACAAATAAAACATAGTGTGATTAGAACATACAAGAACACACTTGCATTGCTTTGCATAAGACTAAGAAGTTAAACATTTGTGTTCTTATCAACAAAAAGAGTTTCAGAATTTATAGCAACTTGCTAAACACAAGGAATGATAGCTAAAGTGCTACAAGTGAGTTTCTCTTATATGAGGTGCTCTTTTTCTCACTGCAAAACTCATTGCATTTGAAAAGCATCCCAAAAAGTTTAAGAGGCTTTCCTGAGCCATATCTTACTACAGCATCTCCACCCATGAGCACAGAAGAAAGGAGATGGGGTGAGGTGGGTACTGTAATTTGTCAAGTTCCATATTACTACATATCATAATACTTGAGATCATAAAAGTACTGTCTTCTTGTCTCATCTCATGTCA